CGGCTCGTAGCCGGGGGAGGGGAATGCAGGAGAAGGAGCGGGACCGCCGCCCGCCGTCAGAGTGATCGACTGAAGGTGACGTTTAACATATCTCTGTGTGCAAGTAGTACGTATAATACTTCTGGTGTAATGAATTTAATTTTTATTTTTAGGCAAACATAGGAAACACCCTGGAGGCCGTGGTAATGCTGGTGGTATGCATCATCACAGGATTAACTTCGATAAATAGTAAGCTAATGTTTTAAACATGTACCAAGAAAACCTATATTTTCAAACTAGTAGAAACAACTCGCTTCTATATGTAAACATCCAAACTTCCCTGCAATCCGACCTATTTTTTCCTCTCTAGCGTGAACTGTAATGTTAGAGCTGCACTCAACTTGCATCCCCATTTCCTCTAAAAGACCTTTTCACTTAACCTAGACATCTTTGAGAATTCAGTGTGACGTTCAGTAAACTTACAATGCCTGTGTGTTACAATCTGGTTCGTGCTGAAAAGGTGCACGTACAATGTCATGTAAATCCAAACTCCATCCTATTTAACTGTATGCCATAAAGGTCAGGAATCTTGTGTTTAGTTAATGCCGAGACTAGAGTCACATCTGGACGCTGCCTGTTGTCCTGGTGTGCTAGAGTACTCGGAAAGTAACAACTAATCTATATTCACTGGCTGTGACCGTTCCTGTTTCAGTCAGTCACCAGGTTAGTGACAGGAGGTCTGAAACTTCTCATGCAGCACGATCCTCCCTGGATTCAGTGAGTTGTGGTTGTCTAGGAAATACAAGATTGGACCGGACGCACCAGAAAATAACTACTTTCTTGAGAACAATGATTTTCCTTTGGTTTGGATAATAATGAGTGTTACACATAAATGTTATATATTAGTATAAGAAGAGAATAATATGAAAGATAAAATTATTTTTCTATGATCACTTTGAGCAAGCAATACACTGGTTTCAGTGTTGATTTGCAGCGTTGTTTAGGATGAACTGAAAATTGACTTAATGAGGAATGTGCTTCTTTCACAGTCATCCTGGTTACTTTGGAAAAGTAGGTATGAGGCACTACCACTTGAAGAAAAATCAAAAGTTCTGTCCTACTGTCAATTTGGATAAACTATGGACGCTCGTTAGTGAGCAGACAAGGCTCAATTACGCCAAAAACCAGGCTGGACTAGCCCCAGTCATCGATGTTGTACGCTCAGTAAGTTTCTGCTTGCATCCAAATCTGTAATTTGTGGTCGCTTAACGGATAATTTAGCTTTGCGGATCTGAATAATAAAAGGGCAAACTGCAGATAAGCTACAGTGCTTGAATCTGTAAACTTCTCAAGGCAAATACATGTATCTTAGCCTGTCAGTAGTTACCCTAGTATTTTTGCTGTTACATTTTTTTTCCTGTAAGAACTTCTTATACTTGTGAGTGATGAATGACAAGGATTTCACTTATTATGGAAGGTGGTGAAAGACTAGTTGTTTAAATTGTTGCTCAATGTATGTTTAAAACATGGTGTAACTTCTCTGATTTATGTAAATTGATGTCTTTAATATCGAGACTAGAGTCACATCTTAGCATATTTGATTGTCTTGATGTGCTATAGTTCTCGGACATAAACATCTGATCACTATTCACTGGCTGAGATGTCTCATATCTCAGTCAGCCACCGAATCAGTAACACTTAACTAGTTTGCCTAGTGGATGTGTTCTGCATCTCAAATTAAGAGGCCTCTATTGACCTCTTCTTTTAACAAGCTGTGACTTTAGATGCTGTAGTATTAATGGGTCTTTTGCCATGACTGTGCTTATAATATAAAGGACAGGAGCAAAATGAGTGTGAGAACAGCTCTTGCTGTGGAAGCTTGGAAAAGCGGATAAAACACAGGTGCCTTGGCAGCAGTGCGGCACCCTCACTCCCTTCAGTTGTACGTGTAAGATGCACAGAGTCTCCTCTGCTCTCTTCAGAAGTACTGAATGTCTGGGTTTGCGGACCAGAACCAATTGGGTAGTAGCTGGCAATGGAAGCGTAGCTGACTGCCCTGTCCTTTGGAAAGGCGGGGAAAAAGCCAGCCTCTTGGTTATGAGCCTTTGCAGTTGTCTTCCATATATGGAGTACTGGAAGAATTCCAGATTCACATATTCAAAACTACTGGGAAAAAAAAAGTTCAATTTACTTTATAGTTTCTGCTTTTTCTTTGAACAACTGCAACTCCCCTATGTCATGCACAATATTATTCTTTCACTTGTGTTCATTTTTTTTATTGGAGATGTAGCCACTAAAGAAGGTCATGGTGTTTCTGATTTGGGTTTAACTGGTGCATGCTGAAAGATAGGTCTGAATGTGGGAGCCTAAAGGACAAAAACTTACGGATTTTTTCTTTTAACCTTTCCAGGGATACTACAAAGTCCTGGGCAAGGGGAAGCTGCCCAAACAGCCTGTAATTGTGAAAGCAAAGTTCTTCAGTAGAAGAGCAGAGGAGAAAATCAAAGAAGTTGGTGGTGCCTGTGTGCTTGTGGCATAAAGGCCTTCATGTTTTATTCAACTTTTTTGAATAAAGACAATGTGTGAAATTTGTGGCTAACTTTGATTTATAGAAGTTTCTGAAGCTTTTTTCCTGGCTCTTCCAGATACTGCTCATACTGAAGTCTTGTCATACTTAAGTCGCTGCCTTGGCTTTTGGGGATGGGAAAACTAGAGTGAGGACAAAGGATGAAACAGTGCAAAGTAGGTAACAGTATAAAAAACTTGCTAGGTGAAATAGACTTAGTGCAGGCAATTATTTGTGATTGGTAGGTCCAGGCTTCCTTTTGGGATTGCACAATAATTTGTCTAGCTGTGTTTCCATGTAACGGTGGAGGTAGAGTGTAACAGGGAATTGGGGGAAATAAGTGGGGAATAGGTGGGAATTAAACAAGCCCAAGTTCCTACCTCATTTTATGATTGCCTAGTGCCTCTTTTGTCATTAGAAGCACCTGAAGCAGGTATCAAGATCCTTTTTTCTGCAGATGCTGCTAAGGGGTCTGTCTAGCATGCAGCTTTGTCATGAACAACTCGAGCTTCTGAGCAGAACAGCCCTGTATCATGTGCCCTTTACGGTTAACAGTAGTTGTGGCTGCAGTAAAGTGATCTTCACTTTTCTGCTCATCAGTGTTATGCATAGAAATAAGCTGTATTTTGAACTTAATTCAACAACATGGTCAAATTCTTGTTTGCATTTTAGTGGTATTGTTAATGAAAGGGCTTTATAAATAATGACCTCTGTATTTGTCCCTACAGTACTTCAACTGCTGCTGTTAGGCTAATGCATCATAGCTGTCTTATCTTCTGACAGCAGTCAACATCTAAAATGCAGACTGTTTTAATCTTGTGTGCTGTTTTAGAAACTACTGCTGTAATACTAGGAGCACAAACTGAGGAGTTTGCATCCTATAATTGTCAGAGCATAAGGCTTGTAGTCACATAGAGTATAAATTGCATCTTGTGAATATAACACTGTTTTTTCAGTCTCTTATCTAGGCTAAACCTTGCTGTGAATGTATTGAATGCTTTTGAGATGAGGCTGACCTCTTCTACCACAGGATCAAATTGGTCTTACATGATACTAATTTGGAATTTCACTAATTCATAGTGGTTGTAATGGCAGTATACTGGATCTGTCCTGTTGGTAATGTGGCAAACTAGTTAGCTTGTGTTAGGATAAAAGCTTTTAAAGCCTTTTGCCAGAGTTACTGGATTTAAACATGGCAGTTCCAAGTTGGTGCCCTTTTAGGGGTTAGCAACAGTATGTTGCTATCTTCATGGATTCACAGTCCAAATATTCTTCCTATAGGCTAACAGTAGTAAGGTACTGAAACTGTTGCTTAATGTCTGAATTAATACAATAACTGTCAATTAATTCTTGCAACTGATACCCTTCTCCATAAGTAGGGTACACAGTTCCTCAACTTACCGTGTGAGATACAGTAATGGTGCCAGTAATAGCTCTGACCTTGCCTACAGCTGATGTAAAGCAGTGGCATAGCTCTAGAGCTGCACTGTATAAGCAACCTAGTGAAATTCTGGTATGTTTGCCTTAAAATGATACGAAAAGCATCGCAAGGCTTGGGCCTGTATGCCAAAGCAGAACCTTTAAAGGTAAAAATCAAACTGTATTATTATCACTATACTATATTGAGCAGCTTTTCACCACCTCTTAAGTGTCTGATCAAAAATACGTAGACGCTGTCACCTGTTTTCTATGCTTACTATTAAGAGTCTTAAAGTATTGCTAATACAAATTACCTTGTGGTATGTGTGATACAATCTTGGTTAATGCATTACAATCACTTCTCTCTCAACCTAGCTCTTGTCAATAAAGTTTTAGGCTGACATGCATTGCTTTGATTAAAGCAGCTCATCTTTGCTGATTGGTGCTACTGTTAGTTGTGAAGAGATACAATGCAATAACAGTTTGTAAAATACTGAGGTGACAGCATCTGAACTTTCTTTATCTTGGTGACTGCTGGGACCACTGTCTTCTAGTATGTGATCCAGTTCAACCATTGTCAAAGCTAAACGCTAAAGCTCTGTGAAACATAACAGTTCACTTGTGTTGTACAAATTGCCCAATTCCCTTATGATAAACCTTTTATTAGGTACAGGATTTTGGGGGGGGGGGGGGCCCTCACCCAAGAGCTGTGGAAGGCAGAGTCCAGCTCTCAGTACACTTGAGGCAGTGAAGACTGGCTGCAAGACAAGGAACAAGAACAAAGGCAACATAACCAGAACATCTGTCAAGCCCTTGGTTCAATCCTCAAAGGTAAGTTATGCAGCACTACAAAATAAGAGACTTTTCTTGCTCCTTCCTGTCAGTAATCTGATGCCTGATCAGATCATAAATTGGTGAAAAGCTCAAGTTACAACGAAGTCCTCCAAGCGCACATGACAATAGGCAGGTGACTGTAGCTCACTAAGGTACACAGAAGTAGACACAGCTTTTATGCTTTGGGGCTTACCGTAAAATACAGAGATATTTTGTACAGCTATCTTGCGTCCGAGTACAAAAAGTTCTTCAGGCCAGAAGCATGTGGGCTCCACCAAATCTGATCATTCCTACTACTGAAGAGCTTTACTTTTAACAGTTAGTGGTCTAAGCTTCCCCATGTCTATAATAAACTTAACGATTAGGTTAAAGTTAACAAAAATCTCATCTTAAAATGAAGGCTTAATCAGGTGAGCACAATATATCTTGCATTATTTGTTTACAATCAGTCACATTTGTCTACAGTTCAGTAATGCCAATTGCAGCAAGATATATTTTTAAATATGAAACGATATTTAAATTTTTAATTATATTTTAAAATATAATTAAATAAATGCTACATGAAATATTGCTAAATATTGTTGAGTTCATGCCCCAATAGAGTTATTCTAATAACCTAGTTTAACTCTTGCTAAACCTCTTAGTTTTAGAGGAAAAACATTTCCTTTTCTCTGATTATCACTGTCTAGCTAGTCCTTTATGGTACAGGAACAGCTATGCATAAAGTCTCAAGAGCAACTGAGGTATGGCTAATGCCTGATGGCTTAGATTCTTGTTCCTAACTTGCTCCCTTTAATTGCCTTTTTTATTTTAAGTAAACAACCTGTTTTATACTCCGGTAATCTGTGTTACTGGTCATGTGATGATCAAAGCATGAACAAAGTTAATGAAAAAAGATGAATATCCTTTAGTAACTATACCGCAGGATAATGACTGAAAATGCCCGGATGGGACTCCAGCCTCATGTGAAGGAAAAAGCCAGAGCACCCTAAAAGAGATGGAACTGAGTTGCTTAAGTCTTTCACTGTGATCTGCAAACAGTATACAAGGAAGCGTACAAAAGAGGTGAGGTAAAACTCTGACGAAGCACCTCTCAAAAGCTAACTTCAAGCTCAAGCCTCCTCCTTCCTGGGCTGCGAGCGCGTCGTGCCGGCTCCCCAAAACCACCGCGTTCTCTGGAGCAATAAACGTGCCTCTGGTGACGGACTAGAGTTGTTTAAAGTGCTGTCTGAATAGCAGCTCTGCCAACGCTCAGCCGCCCGGGGCCGGGCAGGATGGCGGCGTCGGCCTCCGAGCCGCCCCTCTCC